CACTTAAATACTTTCTGAGCTGCGCTAAACAGTGTTACGTTCACTCTGAATGATTGTCCCACAATAACAAACTACTGAGGGGTCAAAGACCAGATGATCTCAAAGTTCATGGTTTTTCTTTTCTCATCTGTTCAGAGCTAAAATCGTAGAGCACTATTTATAGCAGAACAAAAGTTTCCAGTTTTATGACGCAAACATGCAGCTTCTTATCTCAGCTCAGCACGGCCATTTATTTGGATATTTGCTTCAAAGACTGAAGCCAGGAACTAAATGGTTCACTATAACAGGCTGTCACTGCAGCAGTGCAGATAACTCATCCTGCGTCAGAGGGAGCGCTGCCCTGAATATTAAACTGCTCCAGTCTTCATCATCACCTCCCTTTAATCCTTCGGAAAATGGAGCACAAACACCACATACACATCTGCATAGGTCAAAGGCAGCCAACTTCACAAACCCTAAAGCTCGAGATGTAGGAGATACTTCAGGTTCAGTTTTCTTGTCTTTACAGGTGTTTGTGGTATGATGCAGGTGTGCATTCGGAGGGAGATGTAATGCATGCAACAACTTGTACCTACCATGATAGGTACAAGTTGAGGACACTTCACTCAATTTTCCAAAAAAGGTATGAAGAAATGAAAATGGTTTTCAGGATCGTTGAGGCGACAGCAATATCTGATCATTTCAGCTTCAATTTGATTGATATCACTTTAAAAAGGTGCCACTACTGTACTGTTCTGTCACACACTGGCTGTTACAGACGTGGATGATTTTTGAATAATGTAGGTCAGTGTATTTACAAGTAATCCCGGCCAGTTGAAAGCTCAGACGTGAAGCGGTTCTTAATGCTCAGGCATGTTTTACTGCTCTTGGCTCTGTGTGGTGCTAAAGAAAGAGGAGATTGATGATGATGATGAACACAGCAGCCGCAACCCACCTGCTGTTCAAATCTTCTGTTTGCAAGTGGGCAACCAATCAGAAGACAGCTAAAACAACTCGTTTCAGACTGCGGCCACACTGAGGCCACGTTTTAAATGAAATCTCTTTGCGTGCGTCTGTTTGCGATTTAGTCCGCAAGGAGTTGAGCAACAAAACGTGGCACAAAGTTTAGGCTCCTGGATGCGCTTATCTATATCAGATATTATAAGGCTGTCACATGGCCTAGCAACCACTTACCAAATGACCTTTTTTTTAAGGTTTTACACACGTACAACACCTTAAAAGCATCGCATAGTTTGAATTTTCATCACATTTATACCCACACAGTTGAGTTATTTATCATACATTATGATGCCATGACCCCTATTCCATTACTACCTACTCAGATCGACTGGGCACGGTTTTTAGGGTGTTCCATTAGGTCAGGGGTGTCGAACTCTAGGCCTCAAGGGCCGGTGTCCTGCAGGTTTTAGATAACACCCTGGGCCATCACAGCTGATTTACAACTCTAGGCCCTGTTCGACACCTGTGCATTAGGTCATAGCACCTGGTGTGTTTTAACAGTACCTGCTTGGCCGGGTGACGTTGTCAGACTGCATGCCACCGATTGGCTGGTCATTAGAGTCACTCAATGAGTCATGAGATTGTCTCATTCACGAAAATCAACCTGCCATTTCTGGAAACGGTTACAAAAAAGCAAAAAGCAAAAAAAACCCAAAACGCAGTGTTCTCCGTCTCAGCAGACCGAGCAGCAGGTATTCTTGCTTCAACGTCAAGCTTTGTTGTAGAGTTTGTTACGTCGCAGGACGCTCGAACGCGTTGCTATGACAACGACCATGCACATTTGGTGGTACCAAATTGTAATCGAAAACCAGTCGGTCCAAGTAGGTAGTAATGGAAAAGGGGCCTAATGTGATCAAATATTTGAGTTTGCCAACAGCACCAAACTCACCAGGAAGGATTATTTTAAACTGTGTATCAGGTATTAACTCTAATTCACTTAAAAATTTTCCAGCTCTTAAATTTTATAGTTGGTACAAGCATAATCAGTCCCCTTGACTGAAATTTCATGGAAACATTTTTTTTTTCTCTAATTTTAGCTTGGAGTGTATAAAAACACACAGCCTGCATATATATGAAACTGTCCCAGACAAGAGTTATGTAATATAGTGCAACTCCTGCAATTCATATTTTCCTAATGACAAGGCTGACATTTTGGACCCCCGTCTCTGGGGGTTAAGCAAAATCTGCACACTATACCAAGATCCTTCAAAACAAGTCCATTCTTCCTCTCAGACTGTAACCGTTGAGCCCTTGTCAACTCACAAAGGGTCCACAGAGCCATAAAATAAAGGCCCAGGGGTCCCATATATCAACGAGGCTGGACCACAGAGCAAAATCGGCTATTTTAAACATGTGTGAATGCCTCTCGCTCACCAGGGAGAAAGGGACAGTCACACAGCTGGCAAGACAGGTTACAAATCATTATGCGAGACATCCAGCCCGTGTGAAACCAGCCCAGCAGGCGCCGCAGGCAGAAAAGTCTCCAAGCGGTCAAATCAATTCATAAATAATAAAACGTCTGAGTTGTACATTAACTGCAATGTGATTTTTATGCAAATACTGATTTCAGGTCTGTTACAGTGCAGCCAGAGAACCAACAGACACTTTCACAACAGAGGCGGATGACGCAAGATTGCCACATCAACAGACACCTGCAGACCCAACCCGTCCTGCAGGTTTAACCCCCAAGAAAACTGTTACCGCACAGCACATTGATGGGAATAACAGCAGATAACCATCACCCTCAGAGCTTGAAACCATCAGATAAAGTCTGCTATTAAGTAACAGCGGTTGGAGTGGTTTGGAAGGAAAGGGGTTTTCTCTGAGTGGCCTCAGCAGCTTTTGTGTTTTTGTGGCCACACAAGCACCATTCAGACAGATGACCCGCTGCAAACACTCCCCCTCCCCACCTCAGCTCTTCTCCTGAGGAAACCAGGACACCAACCGATTATTCCTGTGGACATTTAAATAATTGTGGTAGCTAAGAGAAAAGACAACTGCTTTCCCTTGTTGCCATGGAGGGGATTAAATGAGCAGTATAAAAGGCTGGCCGGGCTTTCAATACAAGTGTAGAGACGGGATTAGTGGCGTTAGAGAGGCCGCCGTATGACCTTCTGACTGCTTAGTTCATTAGGTACAACACAGGCCTGGAACTTGTGTTCGTTATCCAACTGTTTAATAGCAGCTCCTCCACCCGGATTTACGATGAGTTTAATTAAAGCCCAGCCATCTCCAAACGCCCGTCATCTTTCACTAGTGTCCTGAATAAAGGCAGATTCAGAGAGAGCATAAACCCCACACAATGAGGTGTTATGTTTCATAAAAAACTTAAAACACAAAAAAGGCTCCATTCACAGCTGTCATGCCACGTTTAAATTACACCGCAACCTCATGTGAACTTCTCCTCCGGGTTTGTTTCGTTTGAATCCGAGTTCACCACGGAAAACCCTGACACTCGAGTCACCACAAACATCAGCAGTGAAAATGTGGGATCTCTGTGACCTACAGGCTGCTGGTCACATCTGAGGGAGGAAAACTGAGCGGAAAGACGCTCAGCCGGAAGAGTCCCGTTCGCTCCAGCTCAGTAAAGGCTTGACTAATGGGCGCCAGGATAAGAACATACGTCTTTTTAAATTCTCCTGCTGATGCTGCTGCTCCTCTCTGGACAGCATTTTCTCACAGGCCACACAGCAAGAGGCAGACAAGCACCCTTAAAACCAATGAGCTGGGGTCTCATGGGACCATAATTTGGTGAAAAATGTGTCTGAAATTAAATATTCCCAAACAAAATCTCCCAATACAGTCTTTGAAACTTTCCCAGCTAAATTTGTGGCTTTCCTCCCTCGCACTCAGTTCATCTTCCTTTTACCTGCTCCGTCTTCGTATAAATAAACTCATAAAGCCCCTGATCAAAGCAGCCAGTGCCACCGCTTCAAAGTAAATCACTGTGCTGAAGGATAAATATTATTTCCTGCATGTTCTCCTGTGCTCCCACCAGCGTAACGTCACTCATGGTGAGAGCAATTTATGGGAAAACAAGGACTGTGTGTGTCGGCAAGATGATTTAAAGAACAGCACGCAGGTCAGCTTTTAAAAACAGCAATCAAGGGTTTTTTCCTCCCCTTCTTCTTTTCCATCTTAAAGTGCACATTCTTCTGAAATCAGCCAGTGAGGGTAATGACAGAAAAGCAAAGCCACACAGAGTTTCAGCTGAGAGATGCAAACTTGAAGGCTTTAAGTCATTACAAATTTTAAAAAACTAAAGAATGAATATGTTGCATGTATGACTGTTGCGTATGTGTCTGTGATTCAGACAAACTCATGCCTAAACAAGGGCTGCTGACTCATACTTCCTCGTCGGCATGCCTGCAGGTGTTACTTTCCCCTCCTCCATAATTAATTACAACCTTCCTGATAAGAACTAATAAATGTTTCTAGACTTCCTGGTGAATGATACATTCCTCCTGTCAGTACTGACTGATGCTCCTGTGAGGTAATGCCTCATGAATAACTTTATTAATCATGAACTACTTTGAATATTCTGCATTAGACATTTTTAGATATTAACTTTTTTAAACAGCTACTTTCTCCATCAGTCTGACAGCTGTTTGCTTTGATTATACACAAAACTACTCATTTATTAAAGATTCAAATACCCTTTAATATCCTGGCACCAGTAGAAAACCCTCATAATTTTTGTACTGCCGTTGTGTTTGGGATATACTGGAGATGAATTACTCCCAGTGTAGTGGTAAGCACTGGGAGTAGATGGCCCTGTATGCGTGCAGACCACCTGTCTGGACACTCTTACCTGTGAGGTATCAAAAGGTGAGACAAATGCTGAATATATCAACAGCACTGGGCTCAATCACCGGTGATCAGACAGACATTTACCTGGATTAAAAGCACACATTTTCCCCCAAAACAAAGGAATCACTTAGCCCCCTAACACACTTATATCCCACAGTGCTCAACATTAGTATTCCCATTCATCTACTCACCAAAGCTCGGAGAGAGGGCTCATCCAACGCTGAATAGCTTTCCAGGGACATTTCTGAGTGTCCTGTCGAGCTCAGGTGAGACGAGGTCTGGATAGGGATAGGTGTCCCGATCAACAACAACAACAACGTCTGTACCCACCTGCACGGCACGTAGGCTGTTGTTATCGTCTTTTTAAAAATTATCCGCACTGTCTATAACTTTCTACTCAGCACAGCAGAAACTTTTTTTTTTTACTTCTAACAACAGAAATAAACCCTCGTCCTGCTACAAGAGCATACCTCGGTCGTCTTCGTCCGTTTCTCGGGTCACAATGAAAGCACACACAGTCCGAAGTTCTCACGAGGAGACGTTGGGAGCTTTTTGAACCGAGGATTCCCTCGGAAAGGTGTAACCCCGCCCCTCGCTGGATCTGGCCTCTCCCGGCGCTCATTCAAAGCGCGCCGCTGTGTGGGGAGACGTAAAATAGCCTCCAGGTATTTATATGGCACTCAAATCTTTAAGATTCTCATTAAAATCTTACCTTTTATAATATTAATGAAACCTCCCTAAAATAATACTAATAATTATACATACCTGTTACCAATAATTATAATAATAATTACATTGATTTATAGTCTGTAATTACCTGTTTATACAGTAAATAAGGGATTAGTTTATTTGATAGTACTTATCTAATAAATAGATTTTTAAGTTTTATTGTTGATAACAGGGCAGTAGAGTAGACCGGAAAGGTGGGACAGAGACCAGGGAGGGAATGACACACAGGAAATAGCCCAGGGTTGAACTAGAGCCAGGCCCCTGCAGTAACCTTTCAGCAGATGGACATCCACTCAACCCACTAAGCTAAACTGACGCCCAAAGTCTGCCTTCATTCAAGATTTTGTGCAAATGTTCCAGAGAGATTTTGGATTATGTTGACACTGATAGCATCACACAACTCCACCACATCCCAAAGGTGCTCTGTTGGATTGAGATCTGATGATTGTGGAGGTCATTTGAGTACAGTAAAGTCATTATGTTCACGAAACCAGTTTGAGATTATTTGGCCTTTGTGACATCAGCCATGAGAGTAAGGTTACACTGTGGTTATGGACACAGTCAGACTGTTTGACACTATGGGGCCCAAAGTGTGCCAAATAAATGTATCCTACACTATTGCACCATCAGCAGCCTGAACCACTGATAGGCATTCATGCTTTCATGTTGTTCACACCAAATTCTGATCCTACCATCTGAATGAAATCAAGACTCAGACCACGCAGCATTTCTCCAATCATCTATTGATGAGCTTTTGCAAATTGTTTCATGATCTTAGCTGACAGAAGTGATAACCAGTGTGGTCTTCTGCTGCTGTAGCCTATCTGCATCACGGTCCCTCATGTTGTCCATTTAGAGATGCTTTTCTGCATACTTTGGTTGTAACGATTGGTTATTTGAGTTACTTTTTTGAAGCAGTCTGGTCTTTTTCCTCTGACCATTGACATCAGCAAAACATTTTCACTCACAGAACTGCCACTCACAGGATATTTTCTGTTTTGGGACGGTTCTCTGTAAACCCCAGAGATGGTAGTGTGGGAAAATCCCAGATCAGCAGTTTGTGAAAAACTCAGAGCAGCCCATCTGGCACCAACAACCAAGCTACGTTCACAGTCACATAGATTACCTTTCTTCCTCATTCTGATGCTCAGTTTGAATTTCAGCAGGTCATCTCAAGCATGCCTACGTGCCTAAATACACTCAGTTTAACACAGAAAGCAAAGCAATTTACTCAAACTAAAAATAATCAGAGATTCTGGATTTCTGATTTTCATGCACTTTAACCCAAAAACCATCCAAATTAAAACAAAATAAGTCTTGACATACAGGTATTTGACTTTACATTTAATGAATATATAATATATTAAAATGTAACATTTTAAATATTATTAAAATAACAACATTTATACTGTATTCTTACTGTTAGAGACACTCTAGTATTTCACTTCCCTAGCCACGCTGTTGGCGGTAGAAAAGAAATGAGGAGTGGATTAAGTGAAGAACATGAGCAGATATTTTAGTCTTTCTGCCACTTTGTTACAACCAGGTTTATTCATGTGATGTATATGGAAAAGAAAATACAAACACCAGTCACAAAACTATCAAAGTGCGCCTTAAAACTTTTAATAACTACACAAGACAAAGAGCATCAAGACAGCTGTTCTTAAACAGCACGTCAGCCTAAAATCCAACAAAAACAACACACAAGGTGATATCGCTCATGAGCTGCTGTCTACTTGGGCATTTTGATCACAAAGGCAAAATGTGCAGATCTCATTATATGAGCAGGCCCTATGTTACACACAAAATACATCCTATCTATCCGAACTACTTAGAGGAGAAACATACAAAACTTTTAACACTACTTCATAAAATATTAGAAAACATCTTATAACACCACAAATATAATTCTATAAGCTTTCTATATGAATTCTATATGATCCGAGATATGATGGTATTTAAATACAAATGAAAACATTACTGAGTAGTTACAAACAAATTATTAAAGACAAAAGTTTAACAGTATAAAAAGACAAGTGTTCAATCGAACCGGAAAATCTTCTCTTGGTCAAAGATGTAGAAATTAAAATTGTTCCTCAAGCCCTTTAAACTAAATGTAAAATCTATCAAAGTGCTTTAGGTTATAGAAAGACGAAGAAACGGCAAATAGTGGTTACACAAAAAAAAAAAAAAAATTAAACGTAACAATAATAGGCTCGAGTAACAAACGAAATATAAAGTCTAACAAATGCACACTGTTGGGGTCAGGTGACTGCCCTTGACACACACACAGTTTTCTTCATAAACCAAGATGTGATTTTTAAGGTCTTAAAAAAACAACAACCTTATATTCAATATAAATTAAGTCCATCTTAGCATTTATAGTGAAGGCTTCATGTTAGCCATAAAACATCTGATATAAAGTAGAATATGTATGAATAAACCAAACAGACTTTTAAGTGCCCCTATTATACTTTGTAGGCTTTCCCTATCCTTTAGTGTGTTATGCATATAATCTGTATGTGAATGATGGACATAACCTCCAGGTATGCCTCAGGCCTGCATCCTTTTAAGCGGTCAATCTCCTCTGGTTGTAGGCTATGTGAAAAATGGTCCTTGGCTCCTTGGCTCTCGGGATACCTACCCTGAGGAGTATTTATGGGCTCAGTAGCTAGCTTCAGCTCATACTGGATAAAACATGAAGTTAATTTTATAACTTATGCTCCTTGCCGGAGTCATCTGTCAGCATCTTGTCAATCAGAAGTTGATAACTAGTGAGTGTGCAGTTTTAAAGATCAGCTCGAGGCTTCCTAACAGGACTTTTCTAATGAACAGGTGACGCTACGCTGGCTACACTATTTAGCTTTTCTGTACACGTTTGCAAAGTTATAAAGTCCATAAGGAGTTACACCCCCCAGAAAACACTGCTCCCGAACTCATTCTAGATCGCTATGCACCGCACTCCTATAATGCCACAAGACTGGCACTCCCTCAAACAAAGAACGAGCAGCTGCCGCACAGTCTGCCATGATTTTCACAGTAGAGTCATTTCTGCTCATTCCAAAATATCTTAGTTTAGAGCAAAGCATGCCAAATGTTCTGCTGACTGAAAGATGGTATGCAGGAGTCTTCATGCACCCCTGATATCTGAGGAGGCAGAGATCGGCACTCCTATAATCTTGATGTTAGAACAGCCACATCATGATGGTTCAGATAAGTAAGAGATAATGGCTGTGCTGTGATTTCATTTATATTTACATGTAAACTGATCACAGAAAGTTAGAAGTAATCAAAATTCTTTCTATTCTGGACTATCTTAAGTATATAATCAGAGCTGTCCTTGCTCTCATGCCAGCTGACCAATCAGAGCAGGGTTTTGTGCAACGGGGGTTCTTAAAATGAGAGGAGCTTAAATGGGAGCTTTTGAAGATTTCACAAGTATACAGTTTGAGAAAATTGTAGTTTTGAACATTAAGGCATGTAAGCTTACTATAGCACTCTCCCAAAATAAAAATTACAAAGCTACAAAGAAGCATAATAGGGGCACTCTATTTTTTTATACTAAGAGTAAAATTCCTCAAGATATAAACTTTAAAATCCAAACACTCTCACAGGCACTTAGCAGATAGCTATATGTTTCATTAAGTTTCAAAAAGTGCAAAAAGTTACACGAAAAGCAGAAGAGTAGAAGATTTGGTTATTCCATTTCTGCACCAGTCTCAGCTCTCACTCTTCGTCCTGCTCTTCATTTTGCTTCTTGGGTAACTGCAGTTGAAAAAAAAAAGTGAAAATGCTTTTAAAATCATGCTGTGTGGCCCTCACGTTAATTATACAGTTATTCTGCGATCAAATATCTGCAATCTTATCTTGTTCTGTGTGCAGAGAATTAATGATCTCACTTATTTCATAGTAACAATTAGATCCTTGTATTTATATTTGCATCATCCTATGATCACCGTGAAGAGCGTACATGGTCTGCATCAGTGTGCAGTTACATTTCTATCAAACCTTCTTTTTAGCATAGTGCTGGCCTTACTTTACTGGGTAAGGTCCACCTTTTGTGCACATTGGTCAGAACTGCAAACAGCTGTGATGCAGCGTGAGATCCATCTATCAAAGCTAGCAGTATGATTTGGAGCAGTTTGTGCGGTAATGGCTCTTTTGTGATGGCCTAGCTGCACCATAGACATATAAATAGGTTTTTGTCACCCATGACCCCATTGCTGGGTTCACTGGTTGCTATGACTTGGACCACTCACAGTAAATGTTACCAAGAGCTCCCATGACCTGCTGTTTTGGACCTGCTCTATCCTCAATGTTTTCCTTGTGAAAGTTTCACAGAGGGGCGTTGAACAAAGTTCTTTCTTTGTGCTAGCTGGTTTAACAAAACCTAAACCCCAGTCAGAGATAACAGGTATCACGAGTGGTTATCAACTTTCTCTGTTAAGCTGCGTGCCCACATAAAAAAGGGGTGCTTCACCCCTCGTGTGACTTTTGTTCCTGCCCAAAATAATCCCTACGAGTGTCTTCTACTGTCATCAGAGATGCTATCAGATAGCGCTGATAAAACGGTGATTAAAAATCTATAAAGAACCTAAAAACCATAGCAGTAAAATGCAACACTGTCACAAATAAGATAAGAGATGAAATAATCTGGTGATTTAGTGTACAGACTAGTAAAATAAACATTGTGGTAATTGGCAGAGGTGGAAAGTAACAAAGTACAAATACTGTACTTAAGTACAATTTTCAGGTATCTGTACTTGAATAGTTTTTGTTTTCTCACTACTCTTTACTTTTCCTTCCTACAGTTGTCTGTTGAGGTACTTCAGCATCTAGC